TGTAGCTCGTTGGATTGTTGGATAGAATAAACGTGTTTGGGTTGAAGTTAGGTGCAATGTAACGGAGTGACTAGTGAGAATTGGAGAACGGATTTTCTGATTTTATGTTTGTAGAAGATGTTTTCCGGCTTACAAATTTAGGTGATTTTGTCGTAAATGTGGTTTATTGTGCTATGAAAGTATGAGTTGGGTAGAATGTGACTAATAGGGGTCATTCTATGGTACATTTACGGAAGTCTATCTTTTAGGTCTCTGTTGATTTGAGTTGAGGGTGGGAGTTTTTTATTTTTAAAAATTTTTTATTATAACAAAACTTAAATTTTAAACGGATCTTAATTTTTATAACTTCAACACCCGAAAGTTGCAACTTGCAAGAATTCAAAAATTTTCATAAATATTTTAAAATTGACAAGTCTATCGTTACCTACACAACACTTGGTAAAATTTACGAGTTATTGTGCTTCCAGACATGGTATCGGAAATTTTTTTCACGGCACCATTAAAGTTCCTTGAAACAGATATCCTGTGCCTGTGCTTCTTTTCTTTTAGTTCTTTAAACAAAAATAAATGAAGGATTAAGTTAGCAGGTGATTACAAACAAGAGAAGTAAAAAGAGCTTTTTCGCGTTTTCCTTGAAGACAAAAAGGACACATTCCTCTAGTAAAGGGATAAAATATAAACAAAATAGGCGTGTTATTCTTAATCTTAAAACGGTGTGTTTTACTGCCTTTTAGCAGGTATAATCTTACACGATAACATCTTGTATGCAACAATAAATACCATATAGGCGGCTACACTTTTTCAAAATCATTGTTAACACCTAACTATACCTCAATATATAAACTTTACATATATATATATATGTATATATTTGCTGAAACATATTTCTTTATATTTTGTGTGTGAATGATACATCTCAACTTCTAGAGTGTTAAAAGTGCTTAAGATTCAATGATTTTTGACCATGTAAAGTACAATCTTAAGTTAGTGAGCCTCAAGATATTTTTTGCTCGAAACTTATTTAAACAAAGCGTTGAGATACAAAGAGACACAGCAAAGGCATCAATCACAACCGTCCAATCACATCTCAACTTCTAGAGTGTTAAAAGTGCTTAAGATTCAATGATTTTTGACTATGTAAAGTACAATCTTAAGTTAATGAGCCTCAAGATATTTTTTGCTAGAAACTGATTTAAACAAAGCGTTGAGATACAAAGAGACACAGCAAAGGCATCAATCACAACCGTCCAATCACCCAACAATGCAAACCGCATAAACTAGTGAACGTCACATGCAAGGCTATCCAAAAAGCCTCGGAATATCCTGTACGTAAATTCTGTATCTGCAGACAAATTAGCAAGGGATTCATCAAGTAGGAACAAAATGATGGGTCTGATAATCCCAACAATTTGAAACTGAATGACCGGTAATGCATTGACAATTCAACGCATTACCATCTCTCTTGCAATTCAAGACTAACTTTTGTGAGAAAAATTGTGCCCTCGGGGCTTAAAGTCAGATAAGGACTTTTTGCTTACCTCAACATTATGAAGCTGGTACCAATACAACATGCTTAAAATGTGGAACGAGGAAGATCTTGAAACCTAGTTATGGCAATGTTTGATATAAAAAACGAGATACATCCTTATCCCGATGGGGAGGAGCATCGGCCGCTTGTTTACCGAGCATTTTGTTGTATGGGGGTATCTGACCAAGTTCTATTTTATAGTGTACAAATCCGAGTACACTTTGGCAGAGGCATATAGAACCTCAGGCATATATGAATAAACCTTTCCATAGTTGAACATCTGTTTCCTACACTATGGCAGAGGCATATAAAGCCTCAGTGGAGCCGCAATTGTCTCTTCTATTGTCACTCATTACAGAGCTCACAATTTGGGCTTCCAACAACCTACCCTCCTGTTGAAGGCCAGAGATTAGCTCATTGAATGTCCTGGAATTTAGAAGAAATCCATTCTCAAACATTTCTCTGCACCAAAAATATGCCCCTGTAAAGTCCTTTAGTTCACAATATCCCTTCACAAGTAAGTTATAGGTATCAGCTTTAGGAACCACTCCCTTAGCCTTCATATCGTTCACAATGTCGTTTACCGCCGATGACTTTCCTCCTACGAAATGCCCCAGAATCAAGCTATTGTAGGTCATCTTGTCAGCGTTGAATCCCCGGTCTACCATCTCCGTTTGCAGAGAGACTGCCTTTTGGGCATCGTCATGCTCTGCGTAACCACGAATCATAGCATTATATATAAGTCGGTCAGGAGGCAAACCAAACTGTAACATCTCCTTACGCAATCTCTCTACTAGCTCCATACCTTCCTGGCAACATCCAGTTATTAGAGGGTGATAGGTTTTTAACGTAGGCTTAATGTCCAATCTCTTCATGTTTTCATATACCTCGAGACATTTCTGGGTGTTCCCTGCATCAGAATAACCTGAAATTAGGGAATTGTATGTGATAACATCAGGACTAAATCCATTATTTGTAATTTGAGAAACCAAGTCTTCAGCTTCTGTTAGCCTTCCTTTTCTGCAAAGCCCATAGATGAGCGCATTGTAGGTTACCAGTGTTGGACTTATCCCAATTTTAATCATCTCATCAAAGAATCTGGCAGCATCTTTCAATTTTCGCGCTGTACAATTGCCATCAATAATTATGTTATATATCTGTGCATTTGGTGTAACCCCTCCGCTTACCATATCCCTCAAGATTATTTCAGCTTCAAGAAGCCTACCATCCCCACATAAACTTTTTATGAGAGAACCATAGCTCACAACATTTGGCTTGACCCCTTCATTCTCCATTTGTTCGAGAATGAGAAAACACTTGTCGAAGTCGCGCATTTGTCCATAGCCATTGATAAGGGTGTTATAAGTTGCTACATCTGGGAAAACTTCCTTCTTTACCATCTTCTTAACCAATTCCTCTGCCTTATCCATCTCCTTCATTTCACAAAACTTGTCAATCAAAGTATTAAAAGTGATGCAATTGGGTCTCAACCCCCGAATTTCCATTTCCTCAGCGGTTGAAATCGCTCTTCCTATGTCACCTCTTTTACAATATCCTTTCACCATAGTGTTATAACTTACCTCATCCAGAGCAAGCCCATTTTTCCTCAGCTTAATCACAACCTCCCCGGCCATTTCCATTTTCCCTTCTTTGCACAAACCATTCAAAAGAATTCCGAAAATATACTTATTAAAACTGACTCCTCTCTTCACTGCTTCCTCAAACACAGCCAGCGATGCCTCAACATCACCACACTTGGAATGACCATCAAGAAGCACACTATACGTAACACAATCCGGCAAAAACCCACTAGCTTCCATCTCTCCCAAAAGCTGCTTAGCCTCGACCATTTTCCCCTCGCGAAAAAGCCCGCCGAGCAGCGCATTGTAAGTGACCCGATTCATCCCCACATTACCACCCTTCATCCTCTCTCTCAACCCAAAAGCCCTCTCCAATTCTCCCACTTTACAATACCCATCAATAAGCGTGTTATAGGTAACCAAATTCGGAACCACATTTCTCTCAGACATTTCATCAAACACCTTCTCCGCATCCCTAATTCTCCTCTCTTTACACAACCCACCAAGCATCACATTGTAAATAAACACATTGGGGCTCATCCCAATCCTCTTCATCCCATTCAACAACTCTCCAGCCTTCTTCAAATCCCCCAACTTAACTGAAGCCTGAATCGCCTTTGCATACGTAAACCTATCGGGTCGAAAACGCGACTCAACGATCTCATAGAACAATTCAAGCGCTTTACCATACTGTTTGGAGGAGATCAAAGTTTCTAGAAGCAAGTTAAACGAAGCCAAGGAAGGAAACGTACCTTCTTTCCTCGTCAGGGCGTACAATTCCATGGCTTCGGCGATCATTCTGGACTCCAAACAAGCCGACATGAGCATGCTCGAGAAAGCGGGTTTCATGGGGGGTGAGGAGAGAGAGAGGAGATAGAAGAGATCGGACGGCGAAGAAAAAGGCGATTTTGAGGCGACGAGGGATTTGATCAGCCGACGGGCGGTGTCCGTACGGCCCTGTTGGAGAAGAGACTGAAGCTTTTGTACTTGTTCATGGCGTTCGTCTTCTTCTCTGAGGTTGGACGAAACCTCGTCAGATTGTCGGACGATGTCGGATTCTGGTTCAGGTTCGGAGCAGAAGAGTCGGGAAGAAGCGAGTGGTCGGAGCTTGGGAGGTTTTTTACTATGGCGAGTGAAAATGGATTTAGGAATGAGATTGAAACTTTTCGCCATTTCAGATTTTTCAGGTTTGCGAAGTTCGAATTTCCGTTTCACGATTCGGACATGAATGTCGAGCTTTAAGCGAAGAAGAAGAAGTACTGGAACCAGAAAACTAACTTCTTCCTCTTGGTTCGACTCATAATCCTGGATGGGCTGGAAAACGAACAAGTTGGACTGGATTGGGTTACAGAGAATTCGACTCGGGCTCCTCACAGCCCAAAAGTGGGATTATGATTTGGGGTGATATAGACATGTAGCAAAATCTGAAGACCGGCGTCCTTAATTTCACCGATTTGAGTTTTTAATTTTAATTTTATTATAATTAAAAAATTTTATAAAAAGTTAAATTTAATTTTTTTACTACAGTTAAAAACTCTTACATAAAATCACATCTCAACTCAAATTAAAAACTCGAATCGATGAACTAAACGATACTTAATTATAACAATGATTTTGAAATATTATAAATAAAGCAAAATCATATTGTGTAAGAACATAAATATCCTTACAATACACTTTTAGTAATGGTTTAAAACAGTTTCTATTCTCCAAAATCTCTAAAAATGTGTGAACATAATTACATGTGGGATAGTAAATGAATTAAAAAAGATTAATATATGATTTTTTTTGTTATATAATGATATTGCAGTCATTATAATGATTGTAATAACTATGTGTGATAATGGTAAATATAATAATGTTATCATTAACATTAACGATAAAGATTATGATGGTAATAGTAATGATAATGATTATGGTAATAATAACGATTATGATAGTAACGATAATGATTATAATAATAACAATGATATTGTTATCAAACAATATTATAATGATGATATTAATGATAAGAATGATGATAGCGGTAAGAATGATGATAATGATAATAATAAGGTATATGATACCATTCTTTTTTTAATTATTATTCTTAGAATGGTTTCAATTAGAGAATGTAATTTGATGATAATATAGTAACTATATTATATGACGAAAAAGTATACACGGTTACAAAAAAAAAATGAAATATGCACCTTTTTAAAAAAAATGAAGGGCAAAAAAGACCGTAAATTTCTTCCAAATTTGAATATTTGAATATTTTGCTATCCTTGTAAAATTCTGAAAACGTTGCTATATTGTAAATCAATGTATGAAATTTTGTCATGAAGTGTAGAAAATACGAAAATAATATGAAATAGGTCAATATGAAAAACTTAAGAAAGTATATAGGCTAATTTTTAGTTATAGAAATTAATAGGTTATAACTTATCAAGTTATGGTTTATAACTAGATAAGTTATGGACAAACTTGTCAAGTTATAGTTCATAGTCAGACAAGTATGGACAATAACTTGTCAAGTTATTGTTCATAACCAGATAAGTTATGAACAAAAATAGTAATTTAGCCTATTTATTAACTTATGTAAACTATTAGCCTATTAATTTTAATTCATCTCAAGTCTTGGCATATTTTCCTCTTTCTCCCTACAAAATACTAGGACTAAAACCTGAGTGAGTGTAATTCTAACAGGGTTTGAATCTTGATGGTTTTACTTTTTTTTCTAACATATGACATGACAAGAATGCCACCTATTCTATAACCCAGTTGTTCACATACCCTATTTGCATCTACTCTATTTTTTTTTTCCTTTTCTTTCAAATAAGAACCGCACCCTTAAGTGTTATCATACCCGTTTAGTTCGCTGATTCGAAGTTTTAATTCGAGTTAAGATGTGATTTTATGTGAGAGCTTTTTATTGTAGTAAAAAAGTTAGATGTGATTGTTTGTGAGAGCTTTTTACTGTAGTAAAACTCAAATTTTAAACTCGAATCAGCGAAATAAACAGTTACAAACTTTCGTGGGTATATTTCAACGCAACATTTTTAAACTAACTATTATTTTTAAACTAAAAAAACTCACCAATTGAAAATCCCATTAAAACCTTTTCACGTAACATTTTTGAAGCATCTCCAGATAACATAAATTGTAAATGCAAAACTCCATTTATAAAAGATCAAATTGCTAAAGTAGACTTTACTAAAAAAAAAAAAAAAAGGAAAAGGAAAACCATAAACGCATAACGGGTAGGCCCATCAGGGATTTTTTTTTTTAAAAAAAAAAACAGACCAATATCCAATCCTCAAAAATTTGTGTTTTTTTATCCAAAAAACTCAAAAAAAGACAACTCGAGTTTCAACTTTATTTAAGTTCACGTTCTTTTAAGTTTCAATTTTATTTAACTTTACTCAACTTTATTCAAGTTACAACTTCAACCCAAGTTATAACTCAAATTTAACTCAAAAACTACACTCAAGTTATACTCCAAAAGAAACTTCAACTCAAGTCATCTGTCAAAAATATATTTACTAATTTTATAAGTTTTTTTTTCCTGATCAAATAGAGAAAAGAAAAAAAAAAGAACGTGTGTTGAGGTCTTGAACTGATGACAATGTTATAATTATTTTTGAAAATTTGACTAGTTGTCTCGTTTACTTCGTGGATTTGAGTTTTCAATTTTAGTTGAGATGTGATATTTTCTGAATCTTGAACTGATGACAATGTTATAATTATTTTTGAAAATTTGACTAGTTGCCTCATTTACTTCGTGGATTTGAGTTTTCAATTTTAGTTGAGATGTGATATTTTCTGAGAGTTTTTCACTGTAACAGAAAAAATTAGATGTGACATTTTCTGAGAAATTTTTACTGTAAAAACTTAAAATAAAAAACTCAAATCGGTGAAATAAACGAGGCCACGTGTTTGTTTAAGAGAAAGGTAACACCTGTCAAAAGATAAAAGTACTGGCATCTAAAAAAGAGTCTCTATTAAACATTTCTCTTTTAATATTTATCCGATTAGGTAAAATCCTATTATGCATTTATGATACGTGTCTATATCCAATGGTGAATTAGTTCCAAAAAAAAAAAAATGTTTGCATTTTAAGTATAAACGTTAATGAGCCACCAAAGTGATCAGTAGTAAGGATTTTTATTTATTGTCCTCTTCAACTGCTCTGAAACTTTTTTTTTTTAGTTTCTCCGATAATTCATCACCTTACTAGTATTTTTAATTTTTAACTGTTAAATCTAATCAAAATCATATTAAATTAAAAAATTATACAGAACAGACAGATTCTAATGTAAATCTAACAACTAAAAAGTAAAAGACTATTAATAATCTGTTTTTGCCGGGACTAAAAAAAAAAGTTTTTTTTTTTAATAGCAGAAAATTTCTATGAAACTTTAGCTAAGCCTTGTATCGTTATGCTTGAATAAATTAAAAAAAAAATGAGAGGAATAAAGAAAAAGAGAGGGAGACAGATTTCGTAACTGTGAACTTTATGCCATTTAACAACTTGGTACTTTTTGCCAAACAAATCCAAGAAAAGTTGAAATCTACAAAATTTCACCATTACAAGCAAACCATTCAAAGAAGTGCTTCGACCTAGCCAAAGGGGTTATTCCCATAAGCTTCCCTCACTTGTTTTTTTTTTCCCCCTATATATATTTGCTGCACTTCCTCATACACCATTTTCTACTGTAATTTCCATAAATCTTTTTTCATGAATATTCACAAAAGGACTACCATATTCGAGTCGCTAACTCGAACTTTTATGCTGAAGATGAAAAGAATGACATTTTTTTTTTTCATTTTTTTTCCCTCCCCTCCACCATTTTTTTTTTTTTTAAACAACCTGTAGTAGGATACAACTCACAATGAAAGAAAAAGAAGACATAATGCTGCTGAAGCACTGGAGGCACATGGCAAAGAGAGAACTTAAAACGGAAGAGAAGAACTTGATCCTTCCTTTTCAGAGTCCCCCACTAAGGGTTTGGGACAAAGGTACCAACATATCCAAACCCCATTATGAAAAAGGCTATTGCTTGGACGAAAAGGTATATGAAGAAGTGGTTCTTCCCAAATAACACATCATACCATCCACAGAAGAAAAGGTAAACTCCTACCCCAAGCTCCAGCAAGTGAAGCCTGCAAAAAAAAAAAAAAAGTTAGATAATACTAAGTGGACGTTTAGTTTATAAATTTAAAACCATAATTTAAAATTATTCTCGGTTTACGTGTATTTTTTGTGAGAGAAAATACTGTAGCGAATAATGAACCATGATTCGAATCATGATACGAATCATCATACCAAACACCCAATAAAAAGATTTACAAATTGAGGTCTATTTTCACCTTGTATTTGACTTTTAACAATATTGATCTCTTTACAGTCCAAAGAAAATGTAACATGTGTGTCTACCTTTCTCCGATCTTGAATCGCGGTTTTTTGGGCGCTTTTGCTGCTTTTCCCTTGAGGGCATCTCCTAGTTTCTCAGTGACAACCCATTCATTCACCCGGCTGGCCTCTAGTAGGCCGATGATCGTGGCTTTTGTGCGGTGTAACGACATGACATTCTCGAAAAGGATCCAGAAAACTAGTAAATGGAGTGACCTGCATAATTATAAAACACAATCAAATTAATCATGTGTTTGGTATGAGGATTCGTATTATGGTTTAAATCATGATTCGTGATTCGCTGCAGTATTTTTTCTCATAAAAAACAAAAATAAATCAAGATTAATTTTAAATTATAATTTTAAATCTATAAACTAAACGTCCACTAAAAAGATAACGTGAACCAATTATATATGTATATAGCTAAGTCAACTTTCACGTCATCCTAAAAGCCTAACCAAAATGGGCCTCAATATGTAGCATAAGTACAAGAAACATTTCAAAAGTTTCAACAGAATTTTAAATTTTTATGAGAGTAGACAGCGTAACAAATTAACTTGAATTGTAGTTCGAATCTAAGAACAGACAGGCATGATCATCGTTTTAAACAAATTCAAGTGTTGTTTTGGAAGCAAACCTTGGAGTCCCGACTGCATTGAGAAGGGTGATGATAGAAGGAATGTAGACAGCTCCCCATTTCGGAACATGAACTTCAGGGACCAAAACAGTTGCTGGCAAAACGACACAGTAAAAGACAAACGTAATGATATGCGCCACAATCTTCCTTACGAAGAAGAAGCTGTAAATCACATGCACTTTCTTCCACAATGTCACTTTCTGCATTAAAAAAAAAGAAAAAAAGAAAAAAAAAGAGCAGAAGTTGAGAATTATATTATTAATTATTAAGCACACATCATTTTCGTTTTGCTAAGTTCATGAATATAAGAAAGGAATGAAATTTAAAAAAGTCTTGTCTCTAACCTTGTTCCTTGCAATCTCCATAACCATTTTCCTGAAAAGATTGGCTGGACCACAGGACCAACGGTGTTGTTGGTATCGGTACGCCTTCAAAGTACTAGGCAATTCATTCTTCACCTGTTAGCCAAAATCATTAATGGAACATGGAAAAAAAAAAGGGTCATATTATTGCGCCAAACATAAAAAATTTCATACAAATTTATTAAAATTGCAGTTGGCGTGTAACATTTACGTAGGTCCCTGTGTAATAACTGCATGTCTCATAATTAGAATGTACATAAAAATGCTTTATATGATAGGATGTTAGATTATTTTTTTTTTCTTTTTCAAAAAGAGGTAGAATAGGTTTCCATTAATTTTTTTTTTTGAGAATTTTTTAATCGGGAAACGGTTTTCAATTAAGAGATTTTCATGAAGTTTTGTTAAAGTACCGTATTTTTATTAATCTGATGTGATCTATAGGATAAAAACTGTATAACAAGTTTTTTTTTTTTTTTTCCTTGACTCCAACTCTTAATATCTGGTTGCCTTACCATTAATAAAATATGCAAGTAACAAAGACATTTTCATTTTTGAAACATTGGTATAGCAATATTAAGTACCTTAAGATTACAAAGGTACACAAATTTCCAGCCCTTGAGACTTGCCCTAACAGCCAGGTCCATGTCTTCCACAGTTGTACGGTCCTTCCATCCTCCTGCCTCATTTAGTGCAGCAATTCTCCACACACCAGCTGTCCCTGTATTATTATTATTAATTGCATCACCAAAAAAAAAAAAAAGTTATACCATAAACATCACAGTTAAAGAAAAGTAAACTCTTTCTCAAACTCCCAAATCATTCTATTAAATTAGTTTCGAAGTATATTTTAGGATTTTTGGCATAATTACTCTTTAAACTTATCGTGATTTAATAAATTACTTCTTAAATTTTTAATTTTAGTAAGTTGTCTTTTAAATTTGTAAATTTGTTACAATGTGTCCTATTTAATTCAATTTGCTCAATTTTTTTTTTTTTTAGATTTAAAGGATTAAAAGTTGAGATATTAAAAAATTTGTATTACATTTGAATTAAAATGTTAAAATTTTTGACTGAACGTGCTTTTTTGACACTAATTTAACACAATCATCATCAAAATGGGACATATTACAAGTTCAGGGGGTAACTTGCTAAAATTAAAAGTTTAGGAGGAGGGAGGGGGGCAATTTGCTAAACCATGATAAGTCTAGAGGACAAATATGCTAAAAATCCTGAATTTTATATTCATACATTTTTGGCAAAGAAAAGAAGTGAAAAAATAAAAAAAGAGATTTCTACCGCACAACGTGAAAAATGAATTATCAATTATGCTTGTGAATGATAAAAATTCTGACTTATTTATTTTTAAAGATATTTGTTAAAATTACTGCTAGTCACATTTACGTAGGTCCCTGTGTAATAACTGCATGTCTCATAATTAGAATGTACATAAAAATGCTTTATATGATAGGATGTTAGATTATTATTTTTTTTCTTTTTCAAAAAGAGGTAGAATAGGTTTCCATTAATTTTTTTTTGAGAATTTTTTAATCGGGAAACGGTTTTCAATTAACGGATTTTCATGAAGTTTTGTTAAAATACCGTATTTTTATTAATCTGATGTGATCTATAGGATAAAAATTGTATAACAAGTTTTTTTTTTCCTTGACTCCAACTCTTAATATCTGGTTGCCTTACCATTAATAAAATATGCAAGTAACAAAGACATTTTCATTTTTGAAACATTGGTATAGCAATATTAAGTACCTTAAGATTACAAAGGTACACAAATTTCCAGCCCTTGAGACTTGCCCTAACAGCCAGGTCCATGTCTTCCACAGTTGTACGGTCCTTCCATCCTCCTGCCTCATTTAGTGCAGCAATTCTCCACACACCAGCTGTCCCTGTATTATTATTATTAATTGCATCACCAAAAAAAAAAAAAAAGTTATACCATAAACATCACAGTTAAAGAAAAGTAAACTCTTTCTCAAACTCCCAAATCATTCTATTAAATTAGTTTCGAAGTATATTTTAGGATTTTTGGCATAATTACTCTCTAAACTTATCGTGATTTAATAAATTACTTCTTAAATTTTTAATTTTAGTAAGTTATCTTTTAAATTTGTAAATTTGTTACAATGTGTCCTATTTAATTCAATTTGCTCAATTTTTTTTTTTAGATTTAAAGGATTAAAAGTTGAGATATTAAAAAATTTGTATTACATTTGAATTAAAATGTTAAAATTTTTGACTGAACGTGCTTTTTTGACACTAATTTAACACAATCATCATCAAAATGGGACATATTACAAGTTCAGGGGGTAACTTGCTAAAATTAAAAGTTTAGGAGGAGGGAGGGGGGCAATTTGCTAAACCATGATAAGTCTAGAGGACAAATATGCTAAAAATCCTGAATTTTATATTCATACATTTTTGGCAAAGAAAAGAAGTGAAAAAATAAAAAAAGAGATTTCTACCGCACAACGTGAAAAATGAATTATCAATTATGCTTGTGAATGATAAAAATTCTGACGTATTTATTTTTAAAGATATTTGTTAAAATTACTGCTAGTCAAATTTATTAAAAATTAATTGTGTTTTGTGTTTTTTTTTTATTTTAATGTGATTTTAATGAGATTTAAAGAGTAAAAAGCTACACTAAGCTATGAGTTCATAGGGAAGAATGGATCAAATAATAATTAAAAAAAAAAAGTGTTAGTAAACTGACCATTGAATCCAAAAAAGGCATAGGTGGAGGAGCCCACTTCTTGCTCCACAGTGAAATGGTAATCCAGTGACATCTCTTGCATTCTAGTCATCAAGCACTCATCAGCATTCACTGCCAAAAAAAAAAAAAAAAAAAAAAAAGAAAACCCCAACTGAAAATAAATAAATAAATAATTAAACATAAATAATTAAACAAGATGATAAAAGTTAAACAAATATTACCATATTTACACTTCTATCAAACATATGTTTTATTTTATATGGTATTAAATAATCATATCAGATGAAGTAAACTCATTTGTCGGTTAACAGAGCATTGATACTGACTAGGGAAGGAGGTCCACCATTAACACAGCACATGCAATTGCCGGCTAGGGAAAAGAAAGAAAATCCAATTTGTTGAGACAGATATGCCCCTGCTAATATTCTTCATGTTCAAACATACCCTTTTGGTTTTTTGGGGGTACTTGCAATTCCATCGTTGGAGAAACAAACAGAACCTGAATATAACCAGTATTGATACGCTCAACATGTCTCATGACAGAAAAGCCCCCCAAATCTAGACTACTCATTTACATGTATATTTCTCTTTTTTTTTTTTTTTTTTTTTTTTTTTTTTTTTTTTTTTTTTTTTAACGAATTTTGGTAGGCCTTTCATGATAAGGAAGCCCACATTTCTAGATGACAGTTGAATATTAAAATGATATAAGATCAAATACGAGTATACAACTATACAGTGAAAACTTTTCTTACTATCAAATATAAAATTACGTCTAACTATTGGTGTTTTTTTACTTCGTAAGTTTAAACATGAAGTCTCAAAAGAAATTTAAAATTTTTTATGAGAAAATAATGTGGTAAAAAAATTTGAGTCATAAAATAGAGTGATTACTAATTTAGACATGTTAATTTATGAGATTTCTTGTCAATGTTTTTTTTTAAGAAACAACGCTAATATATCAACATATCAAGTTTTTTATTCGTTTAATCCGCTTAAAATCACATAAAAGTTAAAAAATACATAGATTTAACGGTTAAAAAAACATAATTTTCTGATGCGTCAAGCGTACTAGATAATGTTTTTTTTTTAGTTGATGCAATTTATAATGTTTTTTGACTTTTAAAACAGTCCATTTCGTTTACTTACTATTCATGTTGTGAAAAGGAAATAGATTGTGCAGAGGGAAAAAGAAAGATGGAGATTGACCATTTGTACAAGAACTGTATGAGTTAAGCTTTTCACCTTAATAGCTATTTCTCAAAATTTGGACCCTAGTGGTCCATTTTAGCATGCAATCTTTTGGGCTATAGAAACTGACCCCACCCTTTTTCAGAATTAAAAAAAAAAAAACCAAAATTATTATCATAAATGAGTTCTGATATTAGTTGCTTCCTATAAATGATTCTTTATTAATTGCTGGTTGCTACCAGTTCAATCCACCTAACAATTGCATGAATAAGAGAATATCAATAGAGAAGGGGCCATCCAACCTATTATTAGTGCATTTCATGACCCTTTGAAGTTTAAAACAGAAAGACAAAAGGATAAGAAAAGATAAACTTATTAGCATGGGTTCGGTTTTTAATCATCAGATTTTGTTAGTTTTGTATATTTTATCTACCGTTTATAAACATGAATTATCAAAGAAAAAAAAAAAAAACACATATAAAAAGGGGGAAAAAAAAACGCCTGGAAAAGAAGATCTGTATACTATTAATTGTATTTTCCACATGTGGTTTTGGTTAAAATTTTGTGGGTCTTTGAGAGAAAATGAAGAGTGATAAGAGGGTCAAACGTGGCCGATTTAGAGGCAGCCAACCAAGACTAATGACCGTGATTTTACAGATTGCCAAAGCAAAAAGAAGATGAAAAACCAAAGAGGTGGGTCCCACTGTTTTTTTTTTTTTTTTTCCCTCCTTTCTTCACTAATAAAATCTTAAAATTTCCACATGCCAAATCAGACCCACCGACAGTTTTCAAAAAAGACGCTAGTTTTGTTTAGGACCTAAAAACATAAGCCACGAAGAAAACATACTAAACTAAACCAACTACAATACGAGTACGTACATAATTAGAACCAACAAAATATTAGTCAAAATCTAAGAAATCCAAATTAAGGTTTTTTTTTATTTTTATTTTATTTTAAAGATTACTTACCAAACTTCCACCGAGCCTGAACCAGACCAATTTCCGGGTTGTGCACAAGGAAAGGAACGGTTCGCCATAAGAAATCCGGTTCGGGTTGAAAATCCGCATCGAAAATCGCGACATAATCACAATGCTTAACGTAGCTACGCTTCATTCCTTCCTTCAAAGCCCCGGCTTTGTATCCATTCCTGTTGTCCCTTATCTCGTACTTTATGTTTACGCCTTTGCTTGCCCATCTCTGGCACTCTAGCTCCACCAAGTCCTGTGTGTATTTATCAAACAAATATTGTGTGTTTTTTTTTTTTGTTCAGCCCAAATTTTGATATCACATAACTCTTTTGGTCGTTTTCTCAAATGGGATTCTTTTATTTTCTTTTTTTACCTTGATTGTTGGATCAGTTGAATCATCAAGAACTTGGATTGTGATTCTATCAGACGGCCATGATAGCCCACATGCAGCTCCTATTGAAAGCTGATAAACCTGTTTGTGTCAAGAGAGAAAAAGAAAGAAAGAATGAAAATGAGTCAATAGATTTTTGTTTTTCTTTTGAAGTTTTAATCTTATGGCTCCGACTTTATACAAACCTCCCCTTCGTTGTACATTGGGATTTGAACAAGAACCATGGGATATGCTAAGTTTCCGAGCTCAAGGTCGTCTTTTATGGGCTCCCAATTGTAACGCTTCTCTGGCTTACGGCCAAAGAGCTTTACAAGGACAATAACAATGCCCATGTAAACTCTCTCGAGGAAGAGCATCAGCGACATGATTAGGCACAAAACGACAGCAAGCTGAAGCAGGGGAACTATCAATGGCGCTTTGATCTGTCCCCATATCAATCCTATTTGCGTCGCAATGTCGTCTCTTGCACCTCCGAATGTGTCGGGAAGAATAGCTGTGGATTTTATCGCATCCATTTTTGGGCAGAAAAAGGAAAAAAAAAAAAAAACAGAGGAGAAGCAGAGGAAAGAATAGTTATGGAAGATTGTTGTCGTTTGTGTTGTGAGAGAAAAGAGACCAAGTAGATCTGTGTGGGATTAATAGAACCTCCTTTGCTAAAAGAGCACGAATATTTCTTTTCTTTATATCACCATTTTTTTTTTTTTTTGGGGTGATTTTGCTTCTTGGGCAAGCAAAAAAGGAGAAACAAAGAAGGAAATGTCAGTTGAAGAGCTCAAACGACAACTAGTGCTATAACTTCAAAAACTGTCAAGGAAAAAAAAAAACTAAAATAAACCCATTTCAGATCTCAAATGTTGAACCTAAAAGACCTGAAAAGAAGCTCTCTTTTGGCTCTGGACTCTCTAAAAGATGAGAACTTGGTGTGCTTCTTCTGTAACCAAACAGAAGGTGGAGCAATATATATATATAGATGTATATGTATATGTATATATACACACGCAGACAAATGTGTTTTAACAAAGAAAGCAAGAGAGATAAGCCAAAATGAAAGAGCAAGACAAGAAAAGAGAGAGATTATGTAATGTAGTTCTCTTCTCTCTCTCTCTCTAACTCTATTTGGAGTGTTCTTTTTTTCTGTGCTTTCTCTCTGTCTGTCTCCTTTGCTCTTTATATAACAATGCGTTGGCTCCTCCAAAAAGCCTCAAAAAATTGGAACTATTCCAACTACAAAATTATGCGGCTTTGTGTAAAACAAGCAAGTAAACGGCAGCCACCGCCGGCTATGACATACATTAAACGGCAGCTTTACATTACAATATCCGGCAATGTGGGCCCAATAAGGCCCAATGGCCACTTTTCTTCTCCATTCTAGCTAGCACCTATTACCTAACTTGTCATCATTAAGCTTTTCAGAGCTTAACATTAACATTGTAATTATTGGGAAAAAATGGTGAATTTGGTAATCATCTAGATAGCAAACGTTACAATCCAACTTTTTCTTTCTTGAGGAGAAATAAATGGTAACTACTCTAATATAGTATATACTTAACAAAATAAGATTGCCCAAAAAGAAATACAATAATGCTAGGAGTATAGGAAGCCATTTTTTTTTATTTTAAAAAGGGTTAAAGGGCAAGTCATGAGAAAAGAAAAAGATGCAAAACTGAAGAGCCATTGTCTACCGTCCAAATGGCTTTTTTTTATAATTACGATATTGCCCTTTTAGTCTTTCCATCCTAGTCCATAACCATAGGAATTGACAGCTAACATCAGATTCTTCTCGTGTGTATTACGTGCCTTTTTGTGAAATTTTAGTAGGGTATTCTCGCTTGGAAGGGAACAAAAGTGGAGTGTGAGTACGAGCAAAAATAATAATGAATTTTTTTAGTGGGTTTTTTTTTAGTGGTAGAGTCGTCTCTGACTCTTATGCTGCGTTTTGAGTAAGGATTCGTGCCATGATTCGGATAATAGTTTATAGTTTATAACAGTGTTTTTTTTCACAAAAAACACACGTAAACTGAGAATAATTTTGAATCATGATTCTGAACCTATAAACCAAACGTCTATTTAGATCTGATTAAAATCATATAAGATTTAAAAGTATATAAAATAAATAGTTTATAATACATATATGACGACTGAAAATAAAAATTTTCCAGTAGCTTATCTTTTCATAACTTACCAAAAAAAAAAAAAAACTCCCAAATAATAAATAAATCAATAATATTGCCTATGAAGATTGAACTATAATAGTGGGGAGGAAACACCGTTAAACATGTTATAAACAGAGGGTAATGGTTCTTTTAAAAGCCTGTCTTGGACTTATGTCTCTATGTATTCACGGTAAATGATAAAGTCAAACAATTTTGCCTTGTTATATAATCCAAGCATCTGGGCCTAGGTTTTCTTCGCAAGTGTATAGTCATTCAGTGTAATGAAAGCAGACAAAGAGTAGCACATATAAACAACATTCCGCAGCGTACAAATTTAAAATTGGGACACTTTCTGCTTTGCTTATTCTTTTACTCTTGGGGTTCTACTTCTAAGATAAAAAATATTCGGAATTTTTCTGTCCTTTCGGGACATGCCCGGTCCTAAGTGTTACAGATACGTTAAAATATTCAACATGACTTCGAAAATTGGGTCCAAAGATTTTCACTCTTAGGTGAAAAATAAGAGTTGACGATGTTGACGTCTCATGAAAAAGGGAGTTTTTAATGGAAAAAATAGTAAGAAGAAGAGACTTGCAACGCCTCGTTCATTTTACCAATTTGAGTTTTCAGTTTTAGATTTCTACAGTAAAAATTTTTTCGAAAATGTCATATCGAATTTTTTTTTTTTGCTATAGTGAAAAGCTCTCAAAAAAATGTCACATCCCAACTCGAATTAAAAACTCAAATCCGCGAAGTGAACGATGCCGCAATAGTTATTCTTTGGATGCGATAAAAAAGCCTCACATTCGCCGGAGACTGATCAGTTTTGAGTTATAGCTATTTACATTGGGAGACAAAGCATGTTTCTTCAGCCCCACTAGAGGTTGATGAATGTTAAACAGTAGAAAATAGTCTCAAAACACTTTAAACGAACTTAACGTAGATGCGGGTAAAAAGCTCATCTCTAATTAGGCCACCACTTGATAGTGAAAAAATGATCGTTGGTACTTTAGTAAATTTAGTACTAGACCTTTGCTAAAAGATTACACAGGACCATTGACATAATGCAAGACTTTACGAGGACGTTCAAGGCAACAATTAACTCAGGCCGCGTTTAGTAGTGGTTTTTAGAGCCCAAAATCAATTCTCTAGTCAGATACACAGTTGAAATTTGTGTTTGGAAAAAATCTAAAAAAGTGATTTTTAAAGAATTTTTGAAGAATTTAGAGCTAAAATCAGAAGCAGTCCAAATGTAACTTTGGCTTTTAGATTATGCGGGAATCAACATGAATTACAATTAATAAAACTTTCATAATACCCATAATACTCATGGTGAAATATAAGACGCGTTTGGAACTCGTTCCAAAATGATTTTGTTTTCTGTATGAAAATAGAAATGAAAACGTTTCCATTTTTAGGCAGGAATCATTTTTGAAAATGCGTTTGATAGTTTTATTCAGATATTATTTTCAATCTAAAAAAAATTGAAACTGCGTTTGGTGGTTTCAATTTTGAAAACATGTAATAGTATTTAAAATAATAATATATTAAACTCCTCCTCAACTTGTCCCCTTTCAAACACCAATTTATTGTCATTTAATCAATTAAAAAGGACTACTCAAACATTATTATTGTCGTTTCATCAATTAATGTCCTCTGACGACATTCAACGGCGAGAAGCTGCCCGTCAACGCCTCGAGCTCTCTCAGAGTGTACCAATGCCCCCAACCCAAGTGGGAAACCTCAGGGATGGCCACAGTCACCTGATAACCACCATCACCATTTTCATTATTATAACAAGATCTACCAAACCTTGCCGGGTAAGAAATCCGATGATCCTTGCCAAACACCCAGATCTTCAGCAAATACTGGCAATACTCAAAAAAATCATCAACAAATCAAATTAATGGGCATACCTTGGTTGATTTGGAGGAGTAGAGGCGGAGCAGAGTCGGAGACCGAAGAAGAAACCGTAGAAGAAGGCTGTCGTTTAGATTTCGAGACGTGCGATTCCAGCTAGAAGCCCACCGTGAGCGGAAGAGAAGAGAACAGCGAGAGGGAGAGAAGAGAATGGCGTAGAGGGAGAGAAGAGGACGGCCAGAGAGATGTAGGTAAGCTGGAGAAAATGAAAACGACTTTAATCCGTTTTCAAAAAAAGCATCAGTTTTTGGGAAACATACAAAAACGTTTTTGTTTTTGATTTTGTTTGCGGAGTTTTTCCAAACACGGTCTTCTTTCCGGTTTTAATTTTTCCTCCTCAAAAAATGTTTTCAAAACCGAAAACAAACGCACCCATAAATTCTCAATCTTGCTAAACACTCAGCTATTTTTTGTAACAGTTGATTTTTTTTTTCAGCACAACTAACAATAATTTTTTCAAAATCTACAGTACTATCAAACGGCCCTTAATGCCCTGCTTATTTTTAAAGCCACCAAATGAGATTATCCACTATGCGTCATTGAACTTTGACTGTCACAATTAATGATTTTTAAATCAAGTCTTAACTTTATGAAAAGCGTATGAGTTCAAAAAGGAACTGGTCATAATGATTATTCTTAGTCAAGAAAATTAACGTAGAACAGATTGATTTATACTACAACTCATTATTTTCCAAGCTTTCACTTATCAAGTTGAGATAATAACTTCGTTCGCTTTGCGGGTTTGAGTTTTCAATTCGAGCTGAGATGTGATATTTTTTGAGAGTTTTTAACTGTAGCAAAAAAAGTTAGATGTGACATATTCTGAGAGCTTTTAACTGTAGAAATTAAAAATTAAAAATTTGAATCGGTGAAATGAATGAAGCTTTTAATGTGAACTCCACAGGAAGTGTAATTAGCAAACTCACGTAAAAACTTCACTTTACATGAAGTTGTAAAAGGCATTTTCATGTCATTTGGATGTTAACTTTCTATTCAAGATCAATATTTCTATGAGTTATTTCACATAGTTAATCTATCTTAATTATGTTGACGGGATTGTTGTGATAACTATGCAATAAGTTTTGCCCATATACATACATACATATATATATATATATATATGAAAATATCTTTAATATGGCGGCCGTACGAATTCGGCAAATGTAACATTTTTATCCGTCTGTATAATATCGTTTGTGTGTGTAACACTCATTTTGTCAAAGTGTAACACTCAATAGAATGTAATCTCTATACGTAACTTGTTTCAGTGTTAACATGTTACATCAAAAGTTAAAAAATTCATATGAAATATGTTACACTTACCTGATTAAGGTAACTTAAGCGTATACATTTATATATAGTAACTTAAAACGATAAATTAAGCGGACATTTTGAAAAAAGAAAAATACAAAATAAAGGAGATCTAAAGGTTGACATGAAACCAATGAAAGCCGACCGTGAATTTACTGATTATGTTCTTTTTTATAAAACAAAATTTAAGATGACAACTCATAAGTTTCTAATCACATATATTAAATTGTCATACAATATCATGTTTCTTTCTTATTTTCTTTCATAAAAAAAAGAGTCATATGATAGCCATTGCATATTTATAACAACTGCAAATGTAATTTGCATAGTTCATATATTGTTTCTTAAAAAACATAAATACAACCAATTTATGCTCCAATATATGCCAATAAAATCATTTATGATGAAACCAAGCAAATAACGTTGGGTCCCACTATTATTTTTTTTTTTATCTCTATATTAAAAGTGTCAATATAAACAAAATCTCAAAAAGATTATTATGTGTGAGGAAAAATTCTTATAGTCTAATATAATAGTTAATTTTCACTTTTGCGTCATCATTAAAGTGTTGCAACTTCTAGTTAATTCTATTCCAAAAATATTATTATATAGCGAGGACACCAGACTAGAAAATTAACCACCAAAGACAAGAC